ATAATATAATATATTGTATAATAATATAATATATTGTATAATAATATAATATAAAATATAATATATAGCAATAATATAATATATGATAAGTATATATTTGGTTGGAAAGAAATATTTCAAATGAGTGATGAAATATAACGTCTTCTTTGATTTATTTTAGCACGTTATATTATTTCTTGTTGCGGTTATTTTTTCCCCGCTTAGGTGGTAAGATTCAAATTAGTTGTCATCGAAGTCATCTAACGGTAGGCACAGGAAACGTGATGATTTAACAGGGTCGGACTATAGATGTGTTAGATGAGTGGGATTCGTTGGGCATGCAAAGAGGTGAAGAGGCATGCACGGAGTACATGTATTTGATATGTCAGGGTCGATTCTGGATAAGTAGGAGTTTAACCTGGTACAGTATACAGAACAATATTGTGCAAGGGTCCCTTTTGATTCTCGGTGCGACTCGAGCTTTTCGTCTGCAATGAGTATTTTTTTGACTCCAAGTATGTCGTCGACTTTATCAAGGAAAGACCTCTTGATATTCCTAGGAGGGACTCCGCTTCGAGTAGACGACTGCAGGGATGGTGCAGTGCGAACTGCTGGCTAGGTAGGTAGGTAGATAGGTAAAGTGGCTGTCATTCGACACACTTAGGCCTTTAGGAGGCCCATTGTGATACCACTGGGACTGTGATCCCTTCACTCTATTGGCTTCTTTCTGAACCACCCCGTGCTTCTGATGAACTTCATCAGCGAGACAAGTTTTATCTGTGCAACCTCCGAGACGTCGTCAAGAAACCCACGACCGATGGTTGCGATTCTTTTTTTATACAGTGCTGCGCAATCGCATAGAAGATGTTTAATGGTCTCCTCCTCTTCTACTTCCTGACAGCTTCTACAATAGTCGTTATATGGCGTGCCAAGACTACTTGCATATCTGTCACTGACACTCGGCTATATTAATGACATGTTTGTCGATTAAGTATCTACAAGTAGCCAGAGGCATATTTATGTCCTCCTTACAAGGATCTAGTTGTAGGGTGGTGCCTGTTCTGGCTAGTTCATCTGCTACGCAGTTCCCAGGGATGTCACTGTGTCCTGGGACGCATTGCAGATTTACCGTGAAATAGGATGACAGATCCGCTAGAAGATCATGGCAATCTTTCACTGTCTTCGACGAAATCCTATGAAACATCAGAGATTTCAAAGCCGCCGTGCTGTCTGTATATATAAATATATTCCTTGTTGTGAGCACACTCCTTGTCAGTACAAGAAGGCTTTCTTTAATGGCGGTGACCTCCGCTTAAAAGGCACTGCAGTGGTCTAGTAACCGGAAGGCGATTTAGCCGAGAAGACACCGCCGCCTACTCGGTTATCCAGTTTGGAACCATCCGTATAGAAGCTTATCCCTGCTTCCTTGTCCACTGCGTCTCTTTCCCACTCCTCTCTGGAGGGGAAGGCAATATTGAGGACCGGATTTAGGTTCAGCTCCATAGGATTGCGAAAATCCGTAGTTATGGGAAGAAACGGGAACTTTCTAAGTATCATAGAATGACCCTTGTTACTGCCGACTAGTAGGGAGGATTCATTCAGTCTCAGAGCTGACTTCGCTGCCATTTGCTTGCAATACAGATCTGTTGGCTGCAAGTGTAAAATTATGTTGAGTGCTTAGCTTGGCGTAGTTCTGAGAGCTCCACTGATGCAAATACTAGCTGCTCTTTGTACACTTTCCATGATTATGATCGCATATTTCTTTTCTGTAATTGGCCACCATACTACTATACCGTAGGTCATAATCGGCCTTACAATCGCTGTGTACAGCCAGTGAGCCACCCGAGGTGTCAGTCCCCATCTGGACCCCACCATTCTTTTACATGTGTAAAGCGCTGTAGCTGCTTTCTTTACCCTCGCTTCCAAGTTTTGTTTCCAAAAAAGCTTCCTGTCCAAAATTCGTCCCTGGCTTAAATAGCTCGTGTACTTTTTCGGGTCGGAGCAGGCATACCCATCGAATTGAATTTTAACCCGATCGTCAAGTCTCTTCGAATTGGACGAGGCCTTGACTGAAGACCGGGGCTAGTGAAAAAGTTAAATTTTCAAGGAAACACAACAAGTGAAATTGTTAAGATCCTCCAGAGCCTTGATGTTAACCGCAGATTCCTTTAACATACTGTGGTTCGATTTAGGAAAACTGGTAGTATTAAAATTAAAAAACCTGGTCGCAGTTAAACGATCAGAACTCAAAGTCTGGTGAAGATTGTACCTAGGCGAATAAGGAAAAATTGTACAAGTTCTGGAAAGAAAATGGCTAAAAACCTAACTGTGAGTCGAAAAACCACCAGAAACATTATTAAAAAAATTTGAGAAGGAAGACAGATTCTCATAAAGCAAGAATTGTTCAGCAGTGGTGCGAAGACAATATGACCTATTTCATTTCAGCGGATGAATACCCCCTTCTTTTCCGGATTGGAATTCTTTGGATATGGAGATAATTATTTGATGGGGAAATTAACGAATATAAAAAACTTAAAACTGGGCCAGTTTAAGCGCCATTTGCACAGAATTAGGGACGAAATTCGAGAAAAAGTTAGGCGTACCTTTAAAACCTTTGAAAGGCGAATGGTTAAATAATGCAATAGTTTAACTATTGTAATAAATAAAACAAGTTTTACGCCTAACCTTAGTATAAATTTGTTATTTTTTGCGGGAAATTAGGTGCGACAGTTTTTAAGGCCCACGCTGTATATATTAAATATTTGGAGCTCGACATCATTAGACCGGACAGCTATGCCCTGAAATTAAATTGTAGTATCCTTGTGGTTGATGTCGCCGTCGATTGGACAATGTTGCACTGTGTTGTGTAGTACGAAGGCTAGGCTTCTACCACTATCTCGCTCGCGATCCTTACATACAATATTGAAACCTGTACAACTCGGAAGATCTGATCGGAAACATTGGTTGTTTTTAATAATCTATTTATGTAGAATTCTTCCTCTAGTTGTTAAATGTGTTTTTGTCCATAATCTTCCTTCTTTAATAATTTGTTCATTTAAATTATTTGGTGTTTCTTTTTTGTATTGTACTACAAAAGGGATAATTAAACTTTTTACTAGTTTTTTTATAATCAATCATTTTGCGATACTAAACTTTAATGGGACACTCACTCGCATTTCGTTCATGAAAAATAATTTGTATTCAAAGTTTAAATCTATGTGTTCATTGGCAAGCGAGTACTTTCTAAACTCAATTTATTATATTTCAGATTGCACATTATTGCCTGTTGAAAAAAATTTAGTTGATCTCGTTTGGAAAGAGCAACCAAATATAAGATCAAACCCTGTCCTGTATTTAGAACAAAAATTCTCAGGTGTAACAGTTGCAGATAAATGGAAAGATGTCAAAAATAAAATGTCTGACAAGAAGGCTTGTGCGTTGGTGATAACAGCTTTGGATGAAATTGCATGTAAGTAGCTATGTTTTTTTTTATAAATGCTAGTATTATCGGTATGATTCCCGGTACTTCGTATGACTATCAATTATTATAATTAATAAAAGTTCTACCAGAGACATACCATATATTACAATAAAATCAATTCTCACAACAGCCAGTTCTATGTTACCGAAATTGACGAATTTTATCCGGCCAAAAACTGTTATTTCGATGATCGAATCCTGTTTTGATCGGTAAGCAATAAACGAAACCTGTTATCATTAGAGCAACTCCAAGTAGCCGGGCTCTATATCCTCCAAGCTGGCATTAATTCCAATCCGCGCCCAAAGGAACTTTCGACGATTTCTGCAGGTTTTATGGTAAAAACTATGAAGATAATAGGGATTTAACAAATATTGGCTTCGTTGTCATTGTGTTAAGACACACAGGAAGTCGACCGCCTAGGTAGGTGGCCTCATGCTGCCAACGTATAACAGCGACATAAGCCTCTACGGCTTAATTGCATAGCCGTTCTAGTTCTTCTATATCCTCCGCGGATATATTGCAGTAGCGACATCCTCCACGTGTTCATCATGCCCAACGAAGGGTGTGGTAACCCCTTTTTCACGTGAAATCAAACTTTTACAATTTATCGGCTATGATCTTCAGAATAAGAACAAAAAAATAGTCGATTTTATGAGAAGGGAAGGAATATCGATACCTGTGGTCCAAACCAAGTTATACATCCACGCAGATCTTCTGAATCGCGTAGGTTTCAACGTCTTATGTAAAAATCGCAGGCGAGATAATGGTGGCGGCCTAGTTGAGAATCTCAAAGTAGATTTCTCAAAACAAAAGGTAGAAATTGTGTTCGACGGGTTCTATCTTGTGTAATTAACTTCATATAGTGGGTTCAAAATTTCCGATTCAAATTCATGAAGCGTCTAACTAAAGCTGTAAAAATAATTAAAGTATTTTGAACATTACCTTACCGTTTTGGTTGTTTACTGTCGTCTTAATGTCAATTTGGATCAATAGTACTTGGGACAAATACATTATAAATAGCGACTTTTTACAACGAAGACTGAAAAAGTTAGGTTCCATTGATTGCAAATTTTTTGTACTGACCTGAAGTTACTTTTGGCGTACTGTACTCTTGAAGATAGACGCTGCGGAATGATACCCCTGCTGCGCTGGTAGAATGTTTAAATAGAAGGCTCCACGAGGTTGTACAATCTGCCACAAGACATCCAAGGTGTATTTTCCCAGGAAAAGGACAGTTCGCTGAAGCATATTCTTACTGCGCAAGGGTTCTCTGTGAGAATATGTCTAAAACTTTAGATTTATAAGAGCCATCCACTATTTTACAGAAGCTTTGTGTCAATATCTTTTGGCCTTCTTTTACAGGCAAGTCATTCGTTGCCACACTCCTACGCGCTTTTTTCAAAAGTTGTATAGTTGTCCAAGGTTCACAATATGCCAAGATGACTCAACCTTCAGATTTCAGTTCAGAGAGAGAACACTTTATCAACCTTTTTCTCTAAGATTCATCCGCTTTGAAATCTGTAGAATAATACTAGGAACCACTCGAGAAGGTTCAGTTTGTCCACTTCAATATATGAACCAGCATTTTTAAACCTTTTAGGTCCCATGTTTTCCTTTTAACCTTCAAAAAGCAGCATATATGGCCGTCGCTACAATACTAAACTCTTAGCCTTATATATATAATATAATATATTATATATTCAATATATACGTTACGTACACAGGAAAATTCAATTTAAGTGACCGCATATGTATGCTAGCATTACATTACAAAAGTTTTCTGTCTTGATAATGCTAGTTGTAATTAAAATTGTATATTCCTTCGAATCTGAGGATGTTACATCTTTCCACGGGTCCATCCATGACATATGTATGTTCTTTTGCAAACTGTAACTTGGCTACCTTATTTGAGTGTTTTAATGCTGGCTTTGACTTCATATAGAAGAATATGAATTTCCGTTTTTCCATTTTAAAGTCTAGCATATATTGATGCGAGAGATGATATAAAATTGTATTATAATTATTAACCGATCTGAATTCTGCTGAACTTACTAATATAACGACATTAAACATATTGTTTGAATTTCGCTTCAAAACGTTCACAAATGCAAAATTAACAGCAAATTTTTAGCTCTCTTCAATCTAAATATTTAAAACAAGAGAGAAACACAACAGAAAATATTGAACAAACATGGTGATGATATTGCTTTGTTTCTTTGAATATAAAATTGTACTTGTGGTATTTGTGAATTATTGATGCCAAAGACAATTAATTTTTGAACAAATGTATTTTAATAGAAAACCATGAACAAATGACTTTACAAAATAATCCGAAACAAAATATAAAATGTTATATCTATAGGGTGATACATTTCAAGTTTCTCTACTTTTTTTTACAGAAAAAAAACACAGAACTTTCAAATTGAATGAGAAAAGTTTATTGTCATTTAAAAGGAAATTCTTTAGCATTTATTTTTTTTGAAGATTATCTCTTTCAAATGTTGACCAACGGTTGTGTGTATCACCTAAAAGTACTCAATATAGATATAGAGTTATATAATTGTATGTATAAAAGGTGACTCATTTCAGGTTGGCTAGATAAGTTACGTCTCCCCCTCCATGCACGCCACTGAGCGCCAACACAACAAGAAGACTCCAACCACTAACACACACCACCCCTTCAGACATCACACCACGCAGACCGCCCACACATACACACCACAACTCTCTTTAAAAGTGCTGGAAAGTGGTTTAACGTTCATATATACACGTAAAACACAAAAAATATATATATATTATATAAATATATAATATATACATATATAACCAGCGACTGGAAAGTGCTGTGCATTGAAAAAAAATATGTTAAAAAGTTTATTTCAACAAAAACAGACGAATTAAGTGATTAAAGTGTGGAGTGACACAAACATATATAGGTTAGGTTAGGAGGTCGATCCCAGAAGGGATCCCACTTGGACAGCTTAAGACGCCAGTCCGTTGTGATACCTACGACTCCTATAGTCCGGATCAAAAGACCCTTACAAGTCGACAAGACGTCTTGTGCTGACTACAAACTTGTTAAGACGGCCAATATCCATTACGGATAGGTATTCAGGACCGCCAAACGTGTGATTGCCGAGATATTTCAATCGCAGCCTAGCGAATGCCGGACATTGGAGGAGAAAGTGCTGGGATGATTCCACCTCGCCCTCCTCCATACAACTTTGGCAACTGGCGTCGGGTAGTACACCAAGCCGTACCGCATGAGTGCCCATTGGACAGTGTCCAGTGAGAACTCCTACAATAGCGGCTAGATGCACTTTGCTCAGGGCGAGAAGTTCCCCCGACCTCCTGCGATCCACTCTTGGCCAGAAGGATCTCGCGGTCGCACAGGACCTAGTCGTCGACCAACGTCTGCTGAGTGCACGCGAGGTCCATTGATCCAAAGTTAGAGCACAGGACGCTAACGGAGATCCTACCCGATCCCATTCCGATGTGAGCGGGGCAAAGGTGCCCCCCCTGGCTAGCTCATCGGCTTTGCAGTTTCCAGCGATTCCGCTGTGACCAGGCACCCAAAGAGCCTGATGTTGAAATAACCAGACGCTACCTCTAAAGAGGACAGACACTCCTTGACTAGCTTTGATTGCACGGTACGCGCGCTCAAAGCTAGTATTGCTGCCCTACTATCAGAGTGAATGCTCACTTCTACAAACGAGGCTGCACTACGCAGCAGTACTTCTACCGCCGCCTTAATAGCAGCCACTTCCGCCTGAAAAACACTACAGTGATCCGGTAGCCTGAAGCTAAGACTGAGAGCTCCTTACAGAAAACCCCCCCTCCAACCTTCCCTCCTAGCCACGATCCATCCGTGAAAAAGCTCACCGCGCCTCTTCTCCAACGGCTTCTTCCCACTCACATGTCCCTCGTTGGGATATGAGCGGAGAAGGAACCGCCTCGAGTGGCTACAGTGACGCAGTGATCTATATTTTCCGGGATGCAGCTGAAGGAGGAAAGAATTTCGGAGTGCCCTTGTTCGGACCTCCTCAAAAGCCCAGCTTCCCTGAGCCTTAGAGCACACTTCGCGGTAATGCACCTACCGGCAATGTCCACAGGTGCTATGTTTAAAATAGCATTAAGAGCTAGTGTCGGTGTGGTCCGCAGTGCACCGGAGATTCCGATGAGCGCCGCTCTTTTGACCCTTTCAAGCTTTTTAGCCAGTGTGGTCCTCTCGAGCGCCCTCCACCAGACGAACACACCATAGAATATTATTGGCTTAACTACGGTTTCGTAGAGCCAGAACACCACCTTAGGTGAGAGTCCCCACCTTTTCCCAATAGCCCCTTTGCAGCAGTATAAGGCGACCGAAGCCTTCTTAACTCTCTCCTCTATATTTGGCCTCCAGGAAAGTTTTCTATCGAGGATGAGCCCTAGGTATTTCACTTTTTCAGCAGGCTGAAGAAGTGAACCCCCGAAGGAAGGGAGAGGCACATTTGATATCTTATACCTCCTGGTAAATAAAACCAATTCGGTTTTACTTGGGTTGACGGCTAGGCCGCTTCTATTCGCCCACCTAGATACCACGTTCAGGTACCCTTCGGTGAGCTCGTAAACGGTATTCAGGAACTTTCCCTTAACCATAAGAACCACGTCGTCAGCGTATGCTGTCACCCGACAGCCTTGCGTCTCGAGTTCTATAAGTAGGTCATTAACCACCATTATCCAGAGCAGTGTGGAGAGGACTCCCCCCTGCGGAGTTCCCCTATTCACTTTTCTGGTGGCCTTGGCACCACCCCACTCCGCTGCGACAGTTCTGTCGCAAAGAAGACTAAAAATAAGGTGCTTGAGGTTAGATTCTACCTCAAACTTTTCGAGGGCTTTAACCACTGCCTCTGGTCGCACATTGTTGAAGGCCCCCTCGATGTCGAGGAAGGTGCCCACAGCAAATTCCTTGTGCTTGAGAGCTATCTCCAGCCATGACACTACATCATGCAAAGCAGTGTCGACTGACTTACCTTTGATATATGCATGCTGCGCCCGTAACAGTTTACCCCTCGGTATTCTGCTCCTAATGTACAGATCCATAAGCCTCTCCAGTGTTTTCAACAAAAACGAGGATAGGCTGATGGGTCTGAAATCTTTCGCACAGACGTGAGAGCTTTTGCCGGCCTTCGGAATGAAAGCAACCTTAACCTGTCTCCAGACCCTTGGGACATGGCCTAATCTGACGCAGTTCGCGTAGATAGGGGCCAGCCAGCTCAATGACATCTTGATCGTGCGCTGCAATTGCGCAGGAATAATGCCATCGGGCCCCGGGGACTTAAAGGGCTTGAAGGATTTCAGCGCCCAAGTAAGGTGACGATCGTCCAGAAGGTCCAAGAAGGCTGTACAGCCCTCCTGCAGCTCCCCCAGTGAAACTTCTTCAGCAGAGTGATTTAGTGGAAAATGACCATCCAGGAGTAGTTTCAACGACTCCTCGCTACACGTTGTCCAACTACTGTCTGCATTTTTTAGATACCCAACTGGAGTAGGGTTTTTTGCGAGAATGCGCCTAAATCGTGAGGACTCATGACAGCCCTCTACACTACCGCAGAAGGCTCTCCAAGAAACTCTCTTGGCTTTCTTCAACTCGGACTTGTAGATGGCCAGTCCGGCCTTGTACAACGCCCAGTCGTCGCCAGAGCCGCTTCTACGGGCTTTGTTGAACAGTCTTCTGCTCAAAGATCTGATCTCCGTTAGCTCCGAAGTCCACCAAGGGGGTTTCCCTTTGATTTTCTGAGTTCTCAGAGGACAGGAGCTGTCAAGAGTAGTTCTACTAACAGAGCTGAAAATTTCGACGAGCTCATCAACCGCATCCGCCGATAGGATCGAATCCCTGTCGGGTGCGGGTGGCAGAGCTGATCGAAGCTTCCTGCAGTACCGGACCCAGTTGGTATTCCTAAAATTTCTATAGGTTTTGAGTTCCGGGCATGAGGCTTTCAAGCTGAAACCAATATATCTATGATCCGAGAATGAATGGTCGTCTAGAACCCTCCATTCCGAAATCAAGGGAGCGATTTCTCTAGAGGCTAGCGTAATGTCAAGGACTTCCGCTCTGCTAGCAGTAACAAAAGTAGGGCTGTTCCCCCTATTACAAATAGACAGATCTACTCTACAAATAAAATCAAAGAGTGACTCACCTCTTGTGTTAATGTCCGAGCTCCCCCAGACGGTGTGCCTTGAATTTGCATCCGAGCCTATTAAGACACCGGCTCCTTTGCGCCTGGCCTCTGCCAGGGCTCTTCTCAGCAGGTTCGGAGGTGGCTCCACCTCGTCGTCGTGCGGCATGTAGGCTGAGAACAGCCAGAGTTCTCCAGTGCTGTCCTCCAGTCTAGCAGCGACGACGTCCTCGTTGCTGAAATTATGTAAAAGAAAAACGTTAAGTTCGTTTCTGATCAACAAGCAGGCTCTGGTTCTACCTGTACTGTTTGCGGCCAGGAGCTTGTGGCTCTTTGTCCTTAGACCAGAGATACCGTTGCTGCTCAGCCACGGTTCCTGGATAAGGACAACGTCGGCTTCGTCCCGTCCTAGACGAAGCACTAGATCGGCGGAGGCCGCCTTCGAGTGCTGGAGGTTAATTTGGAGGATCCTCATCCTCCAAACTCCTCTCCAGCAGTGCGAGTTCCGCACCTTCATCCGTACTATCGACCCCAGAAGCCTCAAACAGACGGTCGAGACTGAAAACGGATCCATCATCGACTGACGACCCCCTCGAAGCCATAGCTTATGGCCCCCTTTGCACTGCTGAGAGGAGCGAGGGACTCCTTATTTAGGGGTATCAGCGCTTGCCGATATGGTTCCTCGTCCTCTCCAGCCTAACCACCTTCCAGTCCTGGGTGGGAAGAGATGGATTGCAGTACCGCAATATCTCTTCAATTTCGGTCGGGGTGGAGGGTTCGGCCGGAAGCCAGACACGAGCACGAGGTCGCATCGGAAGATCCGATTTGGCCACCGCCTCGAGCCTTGCTCCCTTCCATACTTCCCCCACCCTGGCTACCGCCTCCTTATAAAGGAATGCCGACCGTTCGTCGGCACACCTTACAAGTTTGTGTAAGCCGAGATTCCACCCGGCACTTTCACATCTAGGGGGTGGTCCAGGGCTTCCCCTGACCACCTTTATGAACACTGCGGAGATACCAGCCGCTACCCGCTTCTACTCTTCATGGGAGATGGCTCCATCTCCCCTGCTGCTGTCGTATACCCCGAGCTCAATTGAGCTGGCGAGTTTAGCGATTTCGCTAAACATCGGTGCCGCTCCGACTCGAGGCTTCTTACCGAGGGAGGATTCCCCCTCC